TCCCCTTGACATGCAAAATACACATCCAGTGAATACCTACACAATGAGAGTTCAGTACTTTGTTACTGAAACTCCCTGTATGCCCATTCTGTAACTCTTGTGTAGGATTCCATTGTTTTGGTTACTGCTGAGCTTGACATTATGTGAATTGCACCTGCGGTATGGCCCAGTCTGGGGTTGTACAATGCAATAATAACCTGAAGCTACCAGGAGTTCAACAGAGTAAAGGCTTCAGGATATGCTTTCTGCAGAGTGAATTGCTTTTTCAGTTGTATTTTATTTCTTATTGTTAGTATTTTCATCTGTAAGTGTTGCACTCCTATATGAAAATTAAGTGCCATATACTAATTTGCCATAAAGCATGTGTTTTCTCTTTGATGGTCTTCAGCCTGACTTCTGAAATCACTTCTTTACAGTTAGATGCTGTTGATATTTGATTCGCTGGAGTTATTTCTGATCAGCGTCAACATTCTAGCACTTTATGTATTTTCCCAGCCTAGAGATCTGTCAGTTCCCATTTGTTTACTATTAGAAAATGAAAATTGAATAAGAAGGTTCTGCGACAATATACAAAAAAAAGGAAAGCAAAAATTAAAAAGAATGATAAAAAATGTCCCTCATAATTCGCTGCTGACAATTCACTTCTGATTTTGTTTGTTTAGGTACTTCCCATCAGGGTGGCTATTCCCATGATGCTGTGGTCCATGCATTACAAAAATGTGGCGTTCGTCATATTGACACAGCAAAAAGATACGGCTGTGAATCTCTCCTCCAAAAAGCCATCAAAGAGAGTGGTGTGAAGCGGGAGGACCTCTGGATAACTACGAAACTGTGGCATAGTGATTATGGCTATGAAAACACAAAAAAAGCCTGCTTGGAGTCATGTGAAAGACTTGGTGTTGAATATCTTGGTATGAACCTTTACATATAGCTCATTTATTGCGCCTTCCATGTGAGTATTTGCAAAGATGAATGAATTCCGGAAAAAAATGATGTCGTACAGATAGATCACAGAAAACAAATTCTGCCTTTATTTACCCATTTGCAGATTTCTTGTTCTGTTTGATCTCTGGAAAGTTCACATGCATATAATTGAGAGCACAGAATTTTTCCTGTTGCAAATGTTTTAAAACAGATCAAGGTATGTTTTGTAAAGGTATGTTTCATTGTTAAATTGATTTGAGGATCCACTACATGAGTTTTATATATTTTGCTAAAAACACCCAAAACCTATGAAACAAGGATTCATAAACTTTACAATAATTTATTGGTAGCAGGGCAACAAAAATGCCTAATTTCTTGTGTGGTCTTTTGAATCCCAAGGAATGGGAGTCCTTTCTAAAAATTATTTTGTAGGTGTCGTGGTTTAACCCCAGCCAGCAACTAAGCACTGCCATGAGCTGCTCGCTCACTCCCCCCCGGTGGGACAGGGGAGAGAATCGGAAGGATAAAAGTGAGAAAACTCATGGGTTGAGATAAAGACAGTTTAATAGGCAAAGCAAATCGGCGCGCACAAGCAAAGCAAAACAAGGCATTCCTTCACTCCTCGCCATGGGCAGGCAGGTGTTCAGCCATCCCCAGGAAAGCAGGGCTCCATCACGCGTAACGGTGACTTGGGAAGACAAACGCCATCACTCCGAACGTCCCCCCCTTCCTCCTTCTTCCCCCAGCTTTATATGCTGGGCATGACGTCATATGGTGTGGGATATCCCTTTGGTCGGTTGGGGTCAGCTGTCCCAGCCGTGTCCCCTCCCAACTCCTTGTGCCCCCCCAGCCTGCTCGCTGGTGGGGTGGGGTGAGAGGCAGAAAAGGCCTTGACTCCGTGTCAGCACTGCTCAGCAGGAGCGAAAACATCCCTGTGTTATCAACACTGTTCCCAGCACAAATCCAAACCACAGCCCCATAGCAGCTGCTGTCAAGAAAATTAACTCTATTCCAGCCAAAACCAGGACAGTACATCTATTAACTTTTAAAAATTCTGAATAACTGCCTTTAGTTTGGTCTGTGTGATGCAATATACTTTGGGGAAAGTGTTAGAAGTATCTACAAGACTTTAGAAGACTAAATTGAACTAACACTGAGTTAGACTTATGCACTTTGAAACTTAACCCTGATCATAAACTTCTTGTAGTCAAAGATGTGATATTGTTACTCCCTTATTAGACAGGCAAAGAGCTGCAATAATGATGCCAATTAATTCTTTGCAACAGGTCATAGGAGAGGAGGTACCTCATAAAAATAAACATGATATTTTTTTAAAATGCTTTTGCTGCTTCTTCCCTAGCTAGTGCAATGAAAAGAAAGTGGAGGTAGAGGAAGATAAGTTTAAAGTAGTAGTCTAAAATAACAACATTGGTGGAGATAGTGTTTGTGCTGATCGTCAAGGAATAATTGACCTAACCATCAGACATTATCTGTCAGCGTCCTGAAAACCCTCATTTTGCTTCCCTTTCCTCACCCTGTCCCACTGTTAAATAAACTTTAATGAGGAAGTGAACAGCTTTTGTGAAGTACAGATTTCGCAGAATTAATGGCATATAATATTAATGGCAGCTGTGTGCTGTATTCACTGGCTTTTTTGCTTGGGTACATTGCAAGATGAAAGGAAAAACTGTATCTGTTAAAGACAGATATTTGAATGCACATCTTTGGCTCCATTCTTTATGGAAATGTATCTTTATGGAAATGTATCCCTTAACTCCCTGCACAGGTACAAAATAATGCAAAATGAATTAAAATCTCTTTCTGTCTGTCCCATGCAAATACAGGTCACTGCAAAGAGACTTTCATAAACAAAGTTTCAAGCCCTGACTTTCTCCTCTCAGTTAAGAAATAACGTTTCCTCCTCTCTGCTTTCTACTTGTTATGTTTTGTGTTTGCATTCTTTTTTTCTTCTGCTTGCCGTGGCACTGGTGCTGAATGTTGATGAGAGGAAAACTTGACTCACTTCCAGGAAATCATTTTCGGTGATTCCTTTCGGTACTGTAATTTGCTTTTATTTTCTCAGGTAGTAGACTGATTAAAGTAGGTGCTCACACAAATACTCCGTTTACATATTGCTGCTAAGCAGAAATACGTGAAACAAGGAAAAAAATATGTGAGAGCAAGAAATGCACAAATACTGTCACTGTGTGAGTGAATCCTTGGAATGGCATAAACAGAACTTCAGTTTGTAAGATATGTTCAGCTCTGAGACTTCTTTTGCTCATATTAGTAAGACACATTAAGGAGTATTACGACTGCCTGTGCAATTTGCCTCCATACCAGATTTTCTCCCACCTGCCCTCCCCCCCCCGCTTTTTTTTTTTTTTTTTTAAGATACTCTCACCTGCCTTCCCTCCTTCCTCACCTTTCTTCCACTGACGTGGAGATGTCTGAAAAATTTATAAAGCTCTTCCTGAACCACCACTTAGTCTGACATAGTGACCTAAATCAATGGCTGGCTTCAGTTTGCTTTAACTTGGCGATTTGTAAACTCTGATGGCTTAGGAAATATTTCACGTGCAATTCACTGATCTGTCAATGGGGATGGTGACCTCCGCCAGAAGGATGGGATGGCAAATGGAGTAACGGGTTTGGCTGCTTGAGTTTAATCTCTGTTGGATCAACTCCACAGACCATTTTTGTTAAACGCGGTATGATCTGCACGCGTGTGAAAGAGAGACGGTTGAGTTCTGTGTTTAGTGCTATATATGCTGGGGAAGTAGACCCTTAGAGGGGGTACAATACATGGTGTGTTTCGTGGGGTTCATATAAAGCATCATGCTTTAGGGAGTCCTGTACCTCCTGCCTGAAAGCACCCAGCTGGTAGGTGCTATTGGAAGGATTTTTAAGCAAAAAGTGGCCATGTCTTGAAACGTGAACTCTTCAAGTGTTTCAAGAATGCTTAGAATAAGAGCTTTTTGATGGAAATTTTGAGGGTTATCACAAGTCTAGCAAAAGTAACTGGAATGCAGAAGATTGGTTTGAAAATATGGTTATAAGCTTGTAGAACTAAGCTTAGATATCCTAGCTCTGTTTTCATTCATACCTGCATTTTAAGTCCCTTTTCTGCTGGCCAGTCTACACCATAGAGAGGACATGAAATCCATGGCAAGAAAAGAACTGGTAATAACAGGGCAATTCGTGTCCAAGCTTATTTAGGAAAGTAAATCCTTTAGTTACAAGCATGTGTTAAAGCTGGCAGTTTTTCTGTGAAATAGGAATGTGAAATAAAGGTACATGAAATGTACCTAAATCAGAATTTCCTGATTTCGTTACGTGATACTAACCAAACACGTGGTGGTTCGCAGCATTTCTGTAAGATACATGGTTCATATAGAAAATTGAAAGATCCTAAATAATATATCTGTGAAGTCAGACCTTTACGTCGGAGGGAAAGTTAGTCATTCAGAAGAGTGCAAACAGAAAAAGCTGTAGGAGCCCTGGCTGCTCAACGTGCAGCTACGTTCTTTGTTCCAAGGAGGGTGCCGTTAATTGTCTTGAGGATCCTTATGGGCCACACAGTCCATCCGTGCAGACTGAATTAGAGACTTGGGAAATAACCTAACAGGAATTGATAAATCTGTGCATTAGCAGTATATAGAATGCCAGCTGTTAAAACAGATGAACTGCTGAAAGCAGTTGCAGCTTTTTAAGAGAAGTGTTCCATGTAAAATACTGTTATGAAACCTTTTCGAGAAACACTTTTCGGGCAAATGGTATTAGGAGAGCAGTGTTCCAGGATTTTTATTTGAATCAGTAGATTATATATCCATGAGAAGCTGGAAATTTGTATTATTTGTGGGCAGTGGTTGTAACAGATACTCTGCTCCTTGCATTTTCTAAATGTGGTCCTCGACTAGCAGTCACAGTAAACCGATATGAAATGGCAGCAAATCTTACAGGTTTGGCAGTAGCAGAATACATTCCTTGGGATTTGGATCAAACCTCCAAAGTAAATTCTTCTTGAATGTGACTTGTGGGTTACCGAATTCATAAACAATTTTATTTTCCTTTTGAGTGTTCCGAGTCTGTCACGTTCAGGCAAATTTAACCTATTGCAAATCCCCAGCTGGAGTTGGACAAATGTTTTATCAGCCTATTCAGTGTAATAGATGAATCACACAAATGATGATAATACACCCAGTTCAGATTGTGTATGAATTCAGAACACTTTGGAGGTTGCTTCACATTGGTCCTTGTTCCAATAGAATAAAAAACAACAACAACAACAAAGATTGGGCGGGAGAGAAAAATGCATCGTGTACATACTAAGTGCAGTGACGATTGAGAAAAGCAGGGAAAATACAATCATTGCATTAAGATAACTGTGCTAAACATTGAAAAAATATACTTTTGCTTTTAGGTTTGATATGAGCCAGGGCTTGTTCTTCAAAACCAGGTTTGTTATAGTGAGTTTTGACCCTTTTTTTAATACTGTATTAGGAATTTGAATAGAATTGCAAACTTTTATTTCCATGCAACATGCTGTTGGCTTTTAAATGTGTGAAATGTCCCTGTACTTTTGAGTTCAGAGGAACTGTGTTGATTGTAGGTGCTGCAACCACTAAAATGTAATAAGCCACTCTATTTTAAATGCCTGTGTGAAAGCAGTTCTCACGTTAATTTTAGTTTTCCTGCAGCCCTGTGTTTTGACATGTGAATGAATTTCAGGCCCTCACTTAACACTGTACTACTACAGCTTGATTGTCTGTAAAGGATGCTGTAAAAAGCTGGTAAATACAAAATTTGATTGTGAATGTTTGGGTATTTCTCTTCTTTCTCAAGTGCATCCTGATACTGTGAATCATCGGGGTTTTTTATTCTGAGTTATTAAAAAAAAAAAAACGGTTGGAAGACATCTCAAAGTATTGATTAATCTGTCCCACATCACAAGGCACAGCCACATCATTCTCAACAGATAAAAATGTAGTCTGTTCTTAAAAACCTCCAGTGATAAAGTTACGTCTTGATTACTGGAACCTTAAGCCATTTTGATAAATTAGTTTAAAACTAATTTCTTGCCTCCAAAATGAAAATAACAGTGTTTGTGCTCGTGTTATCCCCCAGGAGGGGAAATATTTTAAGCAAAAGAAAGCGTGTGGGTGTAGGTGTGAATGTGTGTACAAATGAAATCGTAGCCCTTGGTTTGTGAGATGCTTACTGTTTTTATTGGCCTACGGGTATTACGGAAAGTTTTCTAACAGATGCAGTAGAAGTAAGCAGATCCTAATTTAAAACGAGCTATGCTTAGTTTATTTAAATAGAGTGGCAGCTGCGTTGCTCACTGCCTGTTACCTTGTATTCCTTCTGCTTCTAGCTGTGCTGGGGTGGATTGTGCATGACTGGCAGAAAGACTGTTCTACTGTATCTCTGAGATAAGGCACCTTTGCCCACATCTTTCGCGAACACCTCTCGCAGTCAGGAGGACTGCGCTTTGTGATCCAGTAGATGTTTTCTAGCCCTAAATGTGTATATTTCTAACTGCGAAGTAATGTTTATTTCAACAAAAAGCCTAAATTAAAATAAAAGTAACAGGATGATATGGACGTCACATACCTGATAACATCACCTTTCTAAAATAAAGGACCGACAGCTAATCATGTTTGCATTGAAGAGGTCTCCAACACTAATACAGGGAAGGGTGGTGTACTGCATTTTTTAAATACCCAAGGCCAGAGATCTTTTGGTTATCAAATCTGTTAAAAGTCATCCTTCTGAGAGCGCTTCAGTTTCTTGGGCCGAGTACAAAGCATCTTTGTATATGGAAGTCCATGGTGTAGCTATTTCTGTGAACATTTGCAAACTGTGATGTCTAACTGAATAGTCAGGCTTTTGGAAAAGTAGCTTTTGGTGAAATTTGCTGAAGTTAATGATTATTTTTTGTTGGTGTTATACGACATGTTTCTGCATAGTTAAGAAGTTCTTATGAGTCTAATTTGGAGAACATAACAAGCAGCAATTAAAGATATGTAATTCTTCCTTTTTTATGTAGGTAGGCATCAGATACCAGTAACCTTCACCTACTTATATATGACATTTGCTTTATCCAAGCAAAAAAATTTAAATTGAAACATGGCAGTCTCTATGCAGTAAGTACCACCAATGGCATATATAATTTTAGATCAGAATGAACACTTGATATTAGCGATTCCTAATGCTAATCCTTGGGATTGCGTCTAATATAAGTCAGTGGAAATTTTAAGAAACTTTATTGGCAACAGAATTAGAGTAGTCCTGAGTTTTGAACATAACCTTACCAAATGCTTTAATCAATATCCCAATATTAGTTTTCACTTAAATGTCACAGAAATTGGTCTTTATTCCCATACTATATATTGGTATTTATTCTTAATAAATACAACTTCTTTCTTCAGAGCAATTAGAGAAGAAGTAACTATTTGCAGATCAGTGATGAACAAGACTGAATCTGGTTTTTTTTACTCTTTTCTAAATTGGGATTGGATTTTATGTTTATAAGGGCAAAGGATGAGCAACTTTCTCTTTAAATGTGACGTAAATCCAGATGCTGCAAATCATAGAATCATAGAATCATTAAGGTTGGAAGAGACCGCCAAGATCATCGAGTCCAACCGTCAACCCAACACCACCATGCCCACTAAACCATGTCCCTAAGCGCCTATTATCATTATCATGATATATGATCATTATATATGAGTGATAAATCATTATATATGAGTGATATTTGCTTGTCTGAGCAACTGTGTTTAAAAGTCTAATGGGTTATTGGTATTAGAAAGTGCAAATTTAGCTCATGATTTTTGTGATAGACCCAAAATAATTTTTTCCTCGATACATCTGTAATGTATCTTACTGTACAAAATTCTGTACTGTTCTAATTAGATTCTTAATGTAAGCAAAATACTCTCTTTAACAGTGTTGCAATGATGTACCTAAATGGGAACTGGTGTATTATAGTGAATTTCATGTTACCTTTTCCTCGTAAATCGAGGTTGAATTTATATTTATAGAGGTGGAAAGCTAATATAGCAGCCCAGTGGTATAGTAATCATTAGTGCAAAAAAATATGGCAGAGGATCTGTGTATTCACAAAGAGGTGCTGTAAATGAATGGTGTGATGCATTCAAAGAACAAAAACCTCTGCTCATTGCAAATGAGTCTATTTTTTTTTATTTCTTAACTCTGTATTTGAACCGCCAAAAAAGGAATTTTATAAAGCACGATGGCAATGATGCGCATCTCAGTCATGCATTTATTTCCTTTTCCTGTTTTGTGTCAGACTAATGTATGCGACAAAGACCCAACACCTCTTTGACTGGGATGCCTGCAGTTACTTGTTTAATCTGCAGTTAGGCTTTAAATAGAAATATAATTGTTTTCACAGTATCTCCTAAGTTTCTCCTTCAGAATGTCTAGCAGTGTCTACAAACTTATAAAGGGGTTATAGGTCCTATAGTTTTTGAAATGTAGGTAATCTGATTTGGAACTCTGAGTCCAATACATGTAAATTTCTCATTTTTAATTTATGTTGGCAATGCTTCCTTTTGCAGTAGGAGGATGGTCTTTTCTTGCATGGAGACAACACAAAAAAAATGCTTTCCTGAAACAGCCAGGATCAGCAGCTGCTTGGATAATTTCATCAGCAGTAAATCTTAATTGTGTTTGAAATTGTGCTAATATTTCATAAAATGTAGTAAAGCATAATTTTGTTCCCTTAAAATAATATTTTTAAAAAATCACAAATGCTGCCACAAAATCATAGCAAAAAAACTGCATGAGAGAATGTGCTGTAATTTCCAACAGAAATTCATATTGGAAGTATTCTTTAGAAAGGAAAAAACCAGACCCACTGCTGAGTTTGTATAAAATATCTATAGAACTGCCAAACATATTTATCTTCCATAAACTTGAAGACTTGTAGCACTTCAGCAGTAGTCCGGTCTTAATTCCAGTGACCAAAATCCCTTTGACTTAAATGGGGCTTGTTACGTGTTGAAAGTTTATTAAGTGCATATGTGACCATGAAATTCTGATTACAGTGACCTAAACCTGGGGCACATGTGCAACTTCCGCTACCTTTAGTTGTTAATGAAATGTTGCAGATTTTGCTTATTAAAACTAAATGGACGTATACAGTAATGATCGTGGAGTAGTAATTGAAACCATTTTGATGATAATATGTTAGGGGCCATTATGGAGGGAAAATGCTGTTTCACATGGTTTGATGTATATACTTTTTGGACACTTTAATGAGTAATCCAGTTCTGTTTCTTTTTTAGATCTTTATTTAATACACTGGCCTGATGCACATGTTCCGGGTAAAAGCAATCGAGAGGTCCGAGCTGAAACCTGGAGAGCGATGGAGGAGCTCTATGAGAAAGGTGATATTATAATGAAAACCTATCTTGGCAGAAGGAATTAGAGTGCATTTTGGGATTTGGGGAATTCATAGTGAGAGATGTTAAAAAACTTAATTTGAACTGGATGCTCGTATTTCAGTGGGATTTGAGTGAGTTATGTGAACCTCTTTGGAAAGTGCAGCATTAGCATTTTGGTAAGTTAAATAAGAGAGCTTTGTCTTGCTTGTAAATAATACATTGCCAAATTCTGCCCATGAGATTAATGATGGTGTGCATACTTTCTTGAGGAAACCTGCAGATTACTTTGAAATGTATATGCCACTATAGAACATCTTTGTAGTAGCCTCCTCCGTTTTAAGTACAAATCATGCTGTTTTACTTACTTTATATTATTTTTTTTAATTGTATGATGCCATTTTCCAATTTATCATATATTGTGGTACTTTATAGAACCATTTGTGTTTTAGAAAAGATCAACAAAACAAAATGGCTAGGTGAGGAACAAATACTCAACTGCAGATTTTTTGGTACTAACTTTTGGAAAAAAAAATTCAAAGAAGGGAGCTATTCTCTCAAGTTCTGATAACTATCAATTTGATTTTTGGTGCACTGCAAACTCCAGTTTACGTTCATAGCAATAGGAAGAGTAGACTGTCCCGATCACAATTTATCATGTAGATTTAAGAGGAGGATTTTGCTCCTGAAGTATGCAGTATTATTAGAAATAGTGTCGTAAGAGAAGATCCTGTCATGCAGTTCTTGGGCAATGTGGACCACCCTGTTTACAGCTTCAGAGAAGTTCCACGGACAGGGAGAAAGACTTCTTGGATTAAGTAGTCTATCCGCTAACCCAGAGTTACTGAAATAGCGATTGTAGCAGGAGAGTTGTACAAAGGCAATTACAGGCTGTGTGCCGCTACCAGTTTTATCTGAGCAATAAATAAACCTGTTCTCTTACACTTCAACCCTTCAGCTACTTTTGGTCTGCCTCTGGAAACACAGAAGTAAATTATCTTTGATAGATCTGTTGTTCTTGCTTTTTATATTAAGCACAAGGGAAGTTGCAAAAAGTGTTTTCTGCCATGTAAGGGATTACAACATTCAGTTTTTAAAGAAACACTACACTGACCTAATATTTCAAAGCATCAATGACTTTTAAGTCCAAAGCTGGATTATTCGACAAGGTGCTTCATCTTTCCATTGAGAAGGTTTTTTTCTGATGAGTATTTAAATTAGTGCATGTCATTTGTGCCTAGATATGCCAACCTAATTTGCTGCAAACGGGTTGTATTTTCACCTTCTATTATTATTCCTATCCTATTGGCTTTATTCTGCTTTTGCATGTGTTTTTGTGATCTTTCCTGTCTTATACAACTCACTCTTTCTCTATATATCTTCCTAATGAGAAAGACTGGGAGCTACTCAGTGGTCTTCCAGTAAGACACTGGAAATACCATCACTGGCCTCATAGGCAGAGGAAAAATTACTTTTATTTTTTGTTCCTATGCGTGATACCTCTTTACAGACATCCCATGTTGTATTTATTTTTCCTGCAGTTGCATTTCTTCAACAGTTTTGTCAATATGCGTGTTGCTACCCTCGAGTCTTTTTCTGAATTTAAGCATTCTGTAGACTCATGATTCATTTAGCTGAGCATAAATTTTCCAGCTCTGGTTGTCTAAATTACCTCAGTTAGATCATTTACAGAGGAAGGAAAATTTATTAGTCTGGTTGAATCAAGTGCCTTAGAACATTAACCTCCCCATTTTTGCTTTAGGGGATACAGACTCTGGATGTCCTGACCATAACTATGTGTTACTGAAATGACACACAAATGTTAACCACTCTGGACATGGAAATGCAATGATTCCCGAGGAAAATGTTAAATAATTTGTTTGCATGGTTAACCACTAGACTTTCCGCTGAAGATTAAACACTTGGTGCATATCTTTATGTGACTTGCTATGTGTTATGTGAGCAACATGGTAGCCTTGGTATGAACTGAATATAGGATTTGGTCAAAATCCTTACTTGAGGGGAAAAAAATTATATCCATTTATTGGGGGAACAATTGTAAGTTCTATACTGAACAAGTGAGTTCTTTGTCTTCTCTGAACTTGACATTGGTTCAGGTAGTCATTGGTTCCCGTTTGCAATCCTGTTACTTTTTTTTTTTTAGGAAATGTTTATTCTGGGGAAAAAAAAAAGTAGAAACTAAAAGTTTCACATTTAAGGATTGACCATTTAAACGAATAATATGTTTCTGCAGTCAATTCATGAAGGAAATACTGAAATTATTCAACTTGCTGGTGGGTTTAGCAACTAGCCGTGTCCACATTGAAGAGTGTCTGAAAGTGCAGTGACAATAAACACTGTTCTCTGTAGAAAAAAAATTGGTTTGTGTTATGGGACTGATAATGCATATCTATCTGCAAGAGACTTACGAGAAGGTTAAAAGATCTCAATATTGACTTAAGTCTTTGATCTGGCTGAAGTTAACAAGATTTTCTTTAATCACTTCTCTGTATTCACAGATCGTTTGAGTGCAGATATTTGAAAATCTCATTCTTTCAACTTCAGTTTAAATCCAGGTTAATATTTATTCTGCAAAATTCCACTTACCTGGGGCAAGCAACATTTTAAAATCATGTAGATTATTCGTAGTCTTTCTTATTGTTATTACCAATTGCCCCAGGAGGAGGATGAATAAACTGTTAGTACCCAAGACTGTAACAATCTTTAATGCAGATTTTTTTAAGGTTGTGTTAAGTTTTAGATTGGTCACAAGTTGATGCAAGAAAAATCCCAACTGCATCTACATCATAGCTTTGAGAGAATTTTTTTTTTAGCTCGTGTCTACAAAGATAGATGCAGCCAGGTTCATCTGAGAGCCAGCACATAGCAGCTGCAGTAGCACAACTTGCACGGCTTCTGGCCTGAAGTATCTTCTCACCCAGCTAACTGAGGAGAGGCTAGAGGTCCTGGGTCTGTGCCCCTGTTCAGGTCAGCATGCACTAATTTATAAGACTCTGCCCCCAGATAATAAAAACTGTGTGACAGGTTAAAAGAAAATCTTAATTATTTGTCAAAATTATTAAAATAAATATTTTAGGGAGCAGAAAATTTGCATGAAAAGTTAAACAAAACTCCTCAGATTATGAGTCCAACTTTAGTGAACTCCTAAGTACCTCTGGCTGTAGAAGAAATAGCAGGTTTATTGTTATTTGAATGCAGCATGTGCCAATGAAATTGGTGTGTAAAGTGGTAGGTGTGCATTCATGGAGATGCGTGGGCATCCTTAAGTTTACTGTTTCTTAATCCTTGACTGCTTAGTAGTGCTTCCTATATATATTTTCTTAATGGAGGATTGGAGTTGAGCTGTAACATCAGAATATTCTCCTAAATAGAAAATAATAGATTCAGGTGACAAGAAAGATCCTTTGCTATCACTGAAAAATCCCCACTGTGGCTTACCACTATACTGTTTTTGTATTTCATCAGAAGAAATTGGAGGTTAACATTTTTCAAAAGAATCTCTTGTTGTGATATGATTTGAACTGGAAACACAAACAATTTAAAATGAGACTCTGAATAGTATTTGTTAGAGATCTGGTTACCTTCTCCAGCCGATTACTTACCATACTAAAGTTCTGGGCTGCACTCCTTGGATCCAATGTGCTTCATGTTTTTAGAAACTAAACAGAATCTGGTTACTGCCCCAAGGCTGGGGTCTCGGAACACACTTGAAAAAAGGTTTCATATTTTAGCACTCTCACCCTTGTGCTTGAATCCACTGTTCGACTGCCTAATGCAACTGAGCAGCTATGCCAAGGTCTCACTTCAGGTTAAAAACAATTTCCCAGAATCCTGGGCGTTCTTCCTGAGATTTTTCATGAGGGAGACCATGACAGATATGAGAGCATGCCCAGAAACACTTGTAGGGATTCTGAAGCCACCGTTGTCCTTTACTGTAACAGTATGAGATAATACATTTATTATCTATGTTAAAATAACACACCCCACAAGTTTTACCCGCTTCAGGTGTTTTAGTCCCTCTGGGTTGTGTCTGGAACATGGTCCTGTGTCTTTCTGGTTTGTACTTGAGCTACGGAGTCTTTGGCTGAACGTGCTCATCTTTTATTTTCTCCTGGCTAAATCCTTCAGTATGTTTTTTAGAGTCTGTTATAAGTCCTACCGGCATCTTTCCCTCTTTAACCTGAAATTTGTATATTTTTATCCTCTACCCTCTCTACCCTACAAACGAGGCAAGGTTATACTTTTAGTTTGCTTTTTTAGTATTCCTGTTGTATAGCCAGAGTCCAGTCATTAAATTTGCTGTTTTCCCTAAATATCTTTCCAGGGAAAAATGTCATACAGTCCTGGTCAACAAAGGTAGATACATATTTACAGTGGTATACAAACCTATAGCAATTGTATCATTCCATAACATGAACCAAAACTTATAAATTGTACGTACATTTCCCCAAATCATACAGAAAGTATATGAGAACGCTTATTTGTCATATTAGTGAATTATAACACTGCTTGATTCATGAGACATTCACATGCTGGTTAAGAAAGGATTCATGAGACATTCACATGCTGGTTAAGAAAGGATTCAGTGCAGAGATTTCTATTTTGTCTTACAGTCTGTTGTCTTCCGTAAGTCTTCAGACCCTGGGATTTGCATGCATTTAGGCCTGGCCTTGCTTCCAGAGGGAATTGTGCCGTCTCGTGTGGTAGCTCGGGGATCAGAATTCTGCACCGGGTCTCGGTAGTCAGCCCAAGCGATCGGAAAATTTTCTAGTGGAAAAGCTCCTGAGGAGCTGCAGCAATTTCCACTATCAGTCATTGCAGCTTCTTTATGTTGAGAATTAGGAACAAATGAACAGGGGAGGATAATTATTTTCTTTACTGTTTTTAGAATTGTAGCGTGTACCTGACAGTATAGGATAAAGGCACTACCTGCGCTAAAAACTCCCGTTTAAAAATGCTGGGTGACTTCTGATAGACCAAGCTGA